GAATTAACAATTATGAAAATCACTTATCTAATAGATGATTTAGACTAACACCCAAATCATCTATTAGATAAGTGATTTTCATAATTGTTAATTCTTTTGTTGTAATTAGAAACTTGAACAAAAGGAAGCCAAGGAACCTTTAGACTATATCACAAGAGCCTGGGAAGGCCTAGAAACAGCTGTGCTAAGCCTCTGAGTAGTTATTTCATAGCTTCAAGCTCTAGAGATCTGCTCTAGACAGGTTCAGCTCTAGAGAGGTGCTTTATCAAAATATGCATCACATATTGCAGCAGAAACACAATCTCTTCCTCTACCTCTGTGACCATTTGATGTTCAACCAGTGTTGTCTATGAGATCATTCCATGTCCTGCTCCAGCTTTCATGAGTTTGGAGACCGGAGACTGAGTCTTTCCTTGGCTGGTCATCCCGATGATAGACTATACAGACATACCATTATAGCTCTCTTTTCAGCACAGCACCACACAGCCTAAAATTGTCCAGTTCTCTTGAGCACTGTCTCCTTCCATGATTTCAACTGCCTGTTACCGATCTTTTATATACATATTGTGCTTCAAGTTCATTTGTTTTTAAGTTGCTTTAATACTTACTTTATGATATAAATGCACCATAAGCCATCTTGACAGAAATATTTTAAAATAAAGAATCCTTTCTCTTCCCACATATATATTCAGTGTTATTATTAGTATACTTCAATCATTCTGAAGTGTTTGCAAAGCACAATTCTTTATATTGGATGACTTCTTTTAAGGTTTTTTTTCTTCCTCCAAAGGAATAGTAAATATGGATTATTTTGCCATTTTAAAAATTAACTGAAAAATGGTCCCATCTAGTTTCATTCTCCAAGTACGAATTATCACCTTCCAAATCAATTTTTTATTCTTTGTCATGATGTGAAGATAATCATAGAGCTTAAATAGTACAATGTTATACTGTGTATTCCTACTCAGTTTGTAAGAAAACCTCATTGTTTTCAACTGAATTTACTCCCAAGTAATTGGACACAGGATTTTAGGCTGAGTCACAGTTGCTTTCAGGGTTCCCTCTTTCTTCTTCTAAATTTGCAGCGGTTGAACAATTCCCCCATCTATTCCACTCATTTCTAAATTATAATGCATGGGTCTTTACAGAATAATATAACACATCTAATGTTACTACAGAATTTTCATTTCAAATAAATAGGTAGAGTGGGATGAAAAACACAGATTGTATTATCTAAAGGAACTGATTCTTGACAAAGATGTTCTATCCTATTTTTTACTTACTTGCATACCAGGTTCTCCAATGTCACCGTCATCCCCTTTTGGCCCAGGATAGCCTTTGGTGCCCTGAAGAGGACAAGACAACATTTAGTAAAAGTATATAAACTGTGTGGGATTGACTCCTGCAACTTACAGTAGAGAACTCCATTCTCCAAAGTCTTCTTCAGAAAAGTAGCACTTGTTCTCTTATTTGTCAGAAGAGACAACTGCCATACAACTAAGTTTTGGTTTCCGTTCAGTGCCCTATTGTAGTTTCTGAGACCAATTCTTAGCAGAATCAGACTTTCTCAACCCTGTTATTATTAGACTGTTTATCATATGAAATAGGACTGCGGGCAAAGGAAGGTTTTTCAGAACAAATGATGAACTCTCAATTAATCTCAGATAAGCTTGGCAGAAATGCAATTTTACAATATTTTGTGAGAGCCCTTACCATCTCTCTATGAGAAGAAGGACTTCCCTTCAGTGGCTGTCCCACTCCACATCCCTAATGCTCTCCTCTACAACTGGAGATGGATGCAGTACTGGACATGTGAAGCACACATCCATCAGTGGCCAGGGTAATCCTGATGTGAGTTGGGAAGGACAGAAGACTTGGGTGATGGAAATGATGAGGACAGAGAAATGGGAACTTCTGGGATGGATCTGACCAACAGATCTATCTGCCATGCACATCAGTACCTTATTAAAAGTTTCCAGAGAGGGCATAACCTTGAGATATGCTGGGGCTCCTGCTACATACAAATTTGTATTTCTTTGTTCCCAAACTTGGCCAAAAACATGAAGCAGAATTATTGCAGGAAGCTAACAGCTTAATTTAGGCTCCTTTTCTTAAAGTAAATAGATCAAATTGAGAAATCCAAATGCTGCAGAAGTGACTGAAAGAAGAGGATGGCCTTTTTCTCTGGAAGTCTTGGGTCTTTACAAAACAAACACACCTATGTCATAAAATTAACAAAGAGCTCTCATTTCAGCTGTTTGGTAAGGTAAGGAGGAGAGAGATACTTACATTAACTCCACGGTCACCTCTGATTCCAGGATCTCCCTGGAAAGATAAGGGAAGATTGGAAAGTAAAATTGAAAGAGCGTAAAGATAATAAATTCTATCTAAAGCTTTGGCAGTATGAAATGAAACTTACTGGAGCACCAGGATAACCATCAGTCCCATTTCCTGGTGGGCCATCATCTCCCTAAGAGAAAATTGGGAGATCAGTAGAAGTCAGTTTGATCCTATCAGCAATTAGTTATTATGAGTATTTAAATGTTCTCATTACATCCACACTGACAAAAAAAGGGGGAAAAAACTAATTAAAACAGTGTATGAAATATAAAATCCTTGAGAGCTATAAAAAAAAAAAGAGCAAGATTAACTGACCAAGACTTGATATGAAACTCAAGAGTTAAGAATCTGGAGGCTCAAGTGGTCATCTTATTCATTCTTCCCAGTCCATAGAAGAGGACAAAAATGGGGAAGAGAATGCTAAAAATGAATGATTGGCTAAACAAATGAAATCGAGGATCATTTGGTTTCGGTTATTTGGATTAAAGGTCTGCTGACACAAGATGGTCCCTTCCCTCAAATATTCCTACTACTTCCACTTCTTTGACTAAATTCATGCCATTGGTTTATATTAAATCAAGGACAGCTGAAATTCTTGTTCCTCCCCCCATCTTTCTGGAAGAAGACTTCATCAAGAAAATAAGTTAGGAATTCCCTAGAAAGACTAGAAGGCTGGTAAAAATCAAGGACAGCTGAAATTCTTGTTCCTCCCCCCATCTTTCTGGAAGAAGACTTCATCAAGAAAATAAGTTAGGAATTCCCTAGAAAGACTAGAAGGCTGGTAAAAATGTGATCTTTGCACATGGCAAAGAAAGCTTTAAACTGAATTCTGAAGGTATTGGAAACAACTTCTCTGGAAAATCCCTCTCATATAAATGTTTCTGCAGTGTAGAAGGAGAATAAGAGTTTTGCTTTAATGGGGTCCATTAAACTCCACTCAATAAAAATTAAAAAAAAAAACACACCCACCAAACACATTGGTTCATAAAGTTAAGACATTTGTTATCTATAAACTAATGCTTAGAGCATGGGAACTAACCCAAAGGCACTTGAAGTACAGGAAGCAACGTAATTGAATAAGTGCAATGGAGAGTTGGTGGAATGATTCCTGTGACCACAGCATAGCTACATTTGTTAAAAAGGAAAACAAAAAAGAGGAGTTGAACTGCTGTTTGTTAAAAGTATTCATCACTGCTGAGAAATCCAAGTAAATTAACTTAGTGCTGATAAGCATAAAGAACTTCTGGCTCAAAACAAGTACAGGAACAAATACTGGTTATTGATGTCTACTACTGCCCATCCAACCTAGGGGAAGACATAGATACTTCCCAAGAGCAAACCACTGTTCTTTCAAAGTAGTCTGAAGCAGTAATGATTGAGGACTTTCATTACCCTAACATCTGCTGGAAAACAAATGATATCAAGTAG